ATTGCATGGAAGATCTGTCTCCCCTCCTCTCTCTATATGTGGCTTTCCAATAAAAATAAACACATCTGAGAAAAAAGAGAGGAAAAAACATTGAGATGCTATTTGAAAAAGTCTATGGAAGATGCACATTAAAATTTTTTTAAATATTTTACTAGGCAGAGAGAGCTGCCCCTTGTGTTGGGCCAAGCCCTGAGGGTCTCGAATCCCATCCACAAAGCCAGGGATCTAACCCAGGGTTCCGCGTGGGTGGCAAGGACCCACCTACTTGAGCTGACCTGTTGTCTCCCAGCGTGCTGCTCAGCAGGTGCTGGGCCCAGAGCTGCAGCCCTGCCGCGGCTGTGGAGCCCCTGGCTCGCTGATGCGGGGCTGCATGTGCACCTGCTAGCCTAAGCACCTGCCTTGTCTGAGCAGCGTCATTTTTCCCCCATGAACATTGGGAAGCCTGTGCTGTTACTGACGGTAAAGGAGACGAAAGCAGGAAGATTCAAAGTTCTGAGGGGAGCTTGATTCAAATGAGAGCAGAAAAGGCACGAGGCTTTCTAACAGCGCTCCTCAAACGCAAACCTCTTGAGATTTTAGCTCAAAAAGAGCTGTTTCCTTCTGCAGATATATAGCTAAGGAGGACATTTTGATCAGTATTAGCCTACGAAATACCCATGTCATGATTTTAAAGTGTTACATTAAGATTTCACCTAATCAAATGGCGAAGGTGTACACTGAAATCGGCAAAAGGGCACGTAAAGTGGCTTTTAGTAATTACACCCAAAATTATAACCCGATGACAAAGTTAACCACACCTGAAAATAGCGTAACTCATGAGTATAATGACAGCAATGGTAGAAAACTGCCGTTAAAAACTATCCAGCGGTACATATTCCCCATGAGCACCTCCTCCCGCTGCTTTTCTTCTGGGGAAAAGAGAAAATTAAAGCGAGCTGCACTTCCGGCTTTCCGATTCCGCCAAGGCGGAGGGCTTTAAGACAGCTCCCTCACTGGTCACTGCAGCTGAGAACTGCCCGCCGCCACGCGCCGCGGCTCCACACAGCGCCAGCCATCTGCCGGACAGGTGGCCGCACGGCCGCACAGCGCTTCGAGAAGCTTCCCCGGAACTGAGGCCCGCGCATCCTCCGGCCGCGCCGTACGCCTGCGCAGCAGCTGGCGGCCGGCGCCGGGCAGTGACGTCACGGGCGCGCTTGTTTTGAAGCGCGCGGGTGAGTGCGAGGGGAGGCCGTGGGGTCGCAGTGTTTTGCGCGGGTCGCGCGTGGGTTGCGTTCGGATCTGGAGTTGTGAGAAGGCTGGCTGGATGAGGTGCTGCTTCCTTCTTCGTGGGTTGAGCATTTTCCCCTGACGTTTTGAAATAGTAAGTCCAGTCTCGTCAGCTGTGACAAAAATAATCCCGGAGTTTTCATAACTCAGAATTTTTTTTTTCTAAAAAAAGATGCTAAGCTTTAGAATATGTTTTTATGAGATTGATCTTAGGGATGGCTTTGTCCTTGTCATAACGCTTGAAATACAATGTTTCTTATTGCAACGTAAACAGTAAACAGGTTTTTTTAATTGTTATTTGAAAGAGCAGCAGGGAGGGAGGCAGGTCTTGCACCTGCTAGATAACCCTCAGGTGTGGCAGCGAGCTGCTCCGGGTGAAGAGTGGGCTGGGAGCACGGCCTGGCGGGCAGGCCAGTTCAGAGGCTGTGAGAGGTTCAGGTGGAAGTGGATGCCGCTTGTGCGCGTGGCAGAGGGGACCTTTGCGTGTCTCCTGCCGTGTGTTGCTGCCCACCTTAGGTACAGGGGTCTGCTTTTCTTTAAATTTGGAAACTTACTAATATTTCTTGAAACATTTTGTCTGGCATATACGTGTATAGCATCTGTGTGATGTGTGTGTCTGGTGTGTCCCACCTGTGGTGCCCCGGAGGCCGTCCCGTACTGCCTCCCATCTCCGAGCACCTGTCGGGTTTCCTGCCTTTGCGGTGTTCTGGTGTGCGGGTCGGGCACAGGGGCGATGGGGTGAGTTCCACTGACTTGAAGCTCACTGAATTCCTTCGACACAAACCTAAGGTGCTGTTGTGTGTATTCAGTGGGTTTTTCCTTGGCATCGTTGTCAACTTAAGGACTAAAGAAAAAACAATGGGGAAAAGCCAAGGAAGTTAGTGACTTTGATAGCTGGGCAGTAGACTACGTCTAGTTATGCCCTGCTAATTACGATTTTCTGTGTAGACCTTTGTTGTAGCTTTCCTTTTTCTAGTCTCCATATTTGGGGATTTTCCTTTACGTGAAATACAGTCTTCTGAATTTCAGTTGCTTTTTTTATGCCCTGCTGAACTGCATTTAAATTGTAGCAAAGACTTGTTTGAGTTCTCAGATTGATTTATCATTTGGCTAATTACTGTGCAGTTTCTTGTATACATGTATTTATGAATAACCTAAGAGTAGAATTTTTGACAGGTCTTTAATGATTGTTAGGCTTCTAGGTTTAACGCACTTCTGCTTTTCATGTGCTTGCCTAGAAGCACGAAGTGCTAAGGCAGTGGGTTTTTTCTCCAATTGAAGCAGTATAGTAAATATTCATATTTTTGTTTATCTGTATTTCTACATATATTAAGGAACGTAATTTTAACATTTTTGTTAGTATTTTTAAATAAATCATGTTAGTATCTAATGGGCTTAAAAGTAAGAAATAACTTTTACTTATTTCTCACGGTTACCAAGTTGTTATGTGTAATACTCATGAAGAAAATAAGGTTGATAAACTCTGTTACACAGTTTAATGAAGCCCTTATTTTTAACGCTCAGTTTGTATACCTATACTATTTTCTAACCAATAGATGCCTCTTATTTTTGTATCTTTAATTGTATTAAGCGCATTTTATGACTAAAAATGCATTTATGACTATTCTGATTGTGCAGCAAAGTCGAGGAAACTTATTTCTGCCAAGGGCCATTCGTATATTTATGATCATTTGTGAATCAAAGTTTTCAACTTAAAAATTATCCTGGTATTGATTTATTGAATTTTGAATTCTGCTGTGGCAGAACCAGGCCAGATGCTATTACCGGATCATATGGCCTGGGGGACTAGCTTTGCTCAGGCTTAGCCGTGACCTTGACAGGTGTGTTGGAAACACATGGCCATAATCCTGGAGCAGTCATGGGCTGCCTACCCTAGGGTTCGCCCTTCAGAACCACCTGATACTCTGATGCTGTAACTGCAACTCGGAAACACCTTGCCGATGAGATGATAATCAGGTTAGCCTGGTGTGTTTCTGATTTCTCCAGGCTGTTTATCAGCAGTATTCCTTTTTATGGGGGACAAGAATTCTGTTGCAGCCTGGTGATTTTTTTTATCCTCTATGTAGAAATATTTGTATATTCCATTTACATATGTGTGTGTGAGAGAGAAAAGTGATGGATAACGTACTGCAAATATTCATGTGTATATGTTTATGTGAATGTAAGTTTTTTCTTTAATTTGGTTAAATGTCGGCTAACCAGCTAGTTTCTAGACAACAGTGTATACAGTAGCTTCTCAGCCAATCAGCTGTACTTTAATTCATGAAGTTTTTAGTAAGAGATGAATTTCGTAGAAAGCATTTTCACTCTATTTGCTGCTCCCTGTTTAAGGTTAGAGTGCCGTGTTTTACCTTTGGGTTTCCTGAGCACAAACAATTGAATTTTTTATATTGAAAAAATAGAACTTGGGCGTGGCGTGGCCTAGCAGCTACAGTCCTCGCCTTGAACACCCAGGATCCCATATGGGTGCCAGTTCTAATCCCAGCAGCTCCACTTCCCATCCAGCTTCCCTGCTTGTGGCCTGAGAGAGCAGTCAAGGACAGCCCAATGCTCTGGGACCCTGCACCCACGTGGGAGACCTGGAGGAAATTCCTGGCTCCTGGCTCCTGGCTCCGGATCAGCACAGCACTGGCCATTGCGGTCACTTGGGGAGTGAATCATTGGACGGAAGATCTTCCTCTCTATCTCTCTTCCTCTGTATATATCTGACTTTGTAATAAAAATAAATCTTTAAAAAAAATGGTTCTGTACTGCCCTGAATCAGTCTTTATAAAAAAAAATAAATAAAACTTATTAACTTGGATGTATGCTAAGAACGACTACAGGTAAAACAGGAAGGATGTCGTAGATGGAGCCTCAATGATGGGCTTGTAGATGGAGCCTCAATGATGGGCTTGTAGATGGAGCCTCAATGATGGGCTTGTAGATGGAGCCTCAATGATGGGCTTGCCTTTTGAGAAATGTCGTTCAGTGGGTTCCTTGTTATTTGTACATTATAGAACATGTGCTGACTAAAGACGCTGATGATGTCACCAGTCAATATCATGTTAAGGGAACCGATTGTACATGCACTCCATTACTGATTGAAATATCATTATGATGCAAGGCTGTATATATTAATTAACCTTACGTAGACATTGAAGACCTCATCCTGTTCTCTGTACTTGTACCATCAGGTATATTAGATAATATACTTGATTCCACTTTAATCAAGCATTTCTGTTTAGGAAAGCTAATTTTCTCCTGTTGTTTTAATGAGTGTATTCGTTCTGTCCTCTTTTCGCACAGTTGTGATGTACTTTCTCTGTGGTTGCCCTTGGGAAGAATTGGGCCAGGCCTTGTCCCTCCAGGCCACCATCCTCCTGTTTTTCTTCCCACAATGCTCAGTGGCATCCTGAGGGTTAAAATTAAAAAATTAGGATGGAGATGGGTGAGGCTTTTAGGTCTGTGGGGTGCTCGGAGCTGCATCTTCATCCTTTGTCTTTCTGAAACAGTTCACAGTACAGGAAAAATGATTTAGTAACCCTGATTTTTTTGCTTCTATGGAAATGGCAGAAGTTTCTTCTATTTTGAGGAAAGTCACTCAATTTGTAAGTCTTAACTGAATTTGTGTATTATAGAGTAAATTGTGGCATTCTCTTACAGTTGGAGGCATGTAATTATATTGGAGCTAATTGTGTACAAGTAAGCCTTTTCTTTTATTTTCAGGTTTATGCGTATCCAGTAAGAGATTTTTCTACAGAAGCAATGTCTTTGGTAAGATGTTATTTAATTTTAAATATATATAGAGTAACACACATGGGTAGAGATATAAAGTCATACCTCTGCATGTAAATATATAGTCTGATTTTTTTTTAAGGATTTCTTTATTTTATTGGAAAGGCAGATTTACAGGAAAAGATCTAACACTAGTTTACTCCCCAAATGGCTTCAGTAGCTGGAGCAGAGCTCTGTGGAGCTAGGAGGCAGAGCTTCTCCCAGGCTTGCCACGTGGGCATGGAGAGCCACCCTCCAGTGCTTTCCCAGCGACTGCCAGGGGAGCCATCTGGGAAGTGGAGCAGCAGGTGCCAGTATGGGTTGCTGCCACTTGCAGGTAAAGGACTAGCAGTGAGCCCTGTACCAGCCCCTGTCACTTATAGTTGGTGTTTAGCGACTTTTCCCCAGGTGTAGCATCACCTTTTTTAGGCTACTGCTTCTTTTAGACACTTAAATAGATTAAATAGTTACATGGATTTGCTAATTGATATATCTGACTATAACATGATTCTAAAATGTAAATTCTCACTGCGATGTATTTTCTGTCTTTCTTTTCATTATTTAGACTCCAGCAACACATTATATGTATACACCCCTGAATCAGCTTAAAGGGGGTACAGTTGTCAACGTGTATGGTGTCGTGAAGTTCTTTAAGCCCCCATATTTAAGCAAAGGAACTGGTACGTAATAAAATTGGTGGATTGTTTGTGGACCAACCTGTCTTATTCGTTTTAAACACAACTCCTTCTGTTTCTAAGTGTTACAACAGAAGCTTAATTCTGATTTGTAATTAAGAAAATGAATATATATTCGAGCCTTTTATCAATATAATAAATATGGTCTTGACACTAAAGTCTAGTTGAATACAATCATAATAAATGAAAAGGATGCTGAACAACAATGAAAAGATCCACTGGTAAAAGTAAATACAGAAATACAAAATACTGCAGTAATGTGAGAAGTAAGTAGTAATGTTAATTGCATTGTAGATACTGAAAGCCAAATGTATAGGAAATAGTGTTTAATTGAAGTTAAATTGTTAGCATAAAATAGATTGTTATAACCAAAAGATGTTTTGTGTAAGCCATTTCATAAGCACAAAGAAAAAAAAATGAAATAAAACACACAAAACAAAATGAGAAAGTAATTAAAATATATTTTTAAAAAGTTAGCCAATCACTTAAAAGTTGGCATGAAAGAAAACGAGAGGAAGCAGAATCGGAGGACAGTTGGGAAACAGGCAGGGGCCGCCCTGAGTCCTTCCTGATCCCTGGTTACGAGTGGAGAAAATCCCCCAGTGAAGGATATGGAATAACTGAGAACTTTTCAAACTGGAAAGACCAACTTTAAGACCAACTTTCAGTTTCAGTGCACGTGGATTCTGAAAGTGAAAGAATCGAAAATGTTCTTTTCCACACTACTGTGCTGTTGGGGTGGACTGAAAGTGTGTGCATTTTATTCACATGTCAGTTTTTGAAATGATTATGAAAAGGCAAGATCTATTATAGCTTTTATTACAAGTAGTGTTAGAAGAGGCTGCTCTCATTGCAATGCAAATATTGGTTCTTGTTTTCATGTGTAGTATTTTATACATGACTAGCAAGACTATCATTTTCCCGTTTGAGTATTTTATTAGGTATATTATATATATATATATTTTAAAGATTTATTTGTTTTTATTATAAAGTCAGATATACAGAGAGGAGGAGAGATAGATATTCACTCCCCAAGTGAGCGCAACGGCTGGAGCTCAGCCAATCCAAAGCCAGGAGCCAGGAACTTCCTCTAGGTCTCCCATACGGGTGCAGGGTCCCAAAGCATTGGGCTGTCCTCCACTGCCTTCCCAGGCTACAAGGAGGGAGCTGGATGGGAAGTGGAGCTGCTGTGATTAGAACTGGCACCCATATGGGATCCCGGTGTGTTCAAGGCGAAGACTTTAGCTGCTAGGCCACGCCGCAGGGCCCTATATCATATATTGATATGTATATGTATATGTCATGCTCACCCACTCCCTATAATATCTTCCTATTAACTTTTCCAAAGTTATTATATTAGCATAGTCATTTATTTCACCATTACAAGCCTAATTTTCTGGTATGTAACTATATCATGATATGGCAAGTATAGGAGAAGGAAGAAAATAAAGTAACATAAAAGTGTAAGTATTAATGAAATCCTACTAATGGTCAAGAAAAAACATGTGCTATATAGATGCATTGTTTCCCAGTATGCTAATGTACTCTCTTCCTTGAATACTTTGTATATATACTCATAGATATATATGATAAAGTGTTTTTTCATTTGTATTTGACAAATGTAACTATAAAATCTAGGTTTTTGCAACAGTTTTCACATTTATTGTGGACATTACATGACTCTTCATCGTATTTTTTACAAATACTTTTGTATTTACTCTAAATCTAACCAGATTGAACTTACAAATTAGATTTGTATGTTAGAATGTAGTTTATCTGTTCCATGATTCCTAAACATGGAGGGTAAAAAAAAAAAAAGAAAAAAGCAATTACCTCTCTGTACAATTTATATTAAGCAGGATTTCTGTATGTTTCACACTTCTTTGTAAGTCATTTTTCTAGAGTAATTTATGAGGTCATTTGGTGGTGTATATCGCCAACCAGGAAAGTGTCTGCTGCTCTTGTTCGGGGAGACTTAACTAAGGACTCCCACCTGTTAGTGGTTCTGCAGTGAGCATGTCGTGTTTTTATCAAATGCTCTGAGATGCTAACAGGGTACGTTCTTCTGTCTCCCAGATTATTGCTCTGTTGTCACGATTGTGGACCAGACAAATGTCAAATTGACCTGCCTGCTCTTTAGTGGAAACTATGAAGCCCTTCCCAAAATTTACAAAGTTGGAGACATTGTTCGCTTTCACAGACTGAAGGTATAACGCCTACTACCTAGACCTGTGTATTTGAAGGAAAACTCTGTATTGTTCACCAAGCCAGTTATCACTACTCATGTAGTTGCTTTGTTGGTGAATGACATCAAGTATTTCAAAAAAGAAGAGGAAATGTAAGAGAACCAGACTTAGAGTTATGATGAGACAACTCTTTTTTTAGATGAGCTTCCTGCCTTTCTTATTAGATGGCATTATTTAGTTCCATTCTGGCTTCCTGCTTTCAAATAAACAAGTATGGATTGATCCAGTTAAAACCTCCCTTAAAATATTTGATCAAGAATTTTGTTTGCTTGTGCTAAATTTAAGGTCAATTTCAAAAATCATTTAAAATTAATGCCATTATTTACTGGTTTTTTTTTATGAAATCAAGACTTATGAAATTTGAAAACATTAAAGCAAAGTAAAATTCTCATATGAAACAAATGTTATGTATAAGCAGAAAGTTTTAAAATGCTTTCAGTTCAGTGAATGTAAGGAAGCCTTTAATTTTTTTATAATACTAATTTTAGAACTCAAGATGATTTTCTCAAAAGTATTGCTTTTGTTGTTAGAATGCTTCTTTATTCAGCTGTTTTTGTTTAGTTTTGTTGAACTGTTCTTTGGAAATCATTACATCCAACCCTAGACATTTTTGTAGTACTTTTAATATTTTGTGAATCTTATATTTTAAGCATTTCAGTTTCTTTATCTCCCTTTATTACATGGATTTCCATGTAAACACTACATTATCTACTGTTGTTTTTATTGTACTGATTATTTCCTGTGATGCAGCTTTGTAGCTGTAGGGACACCCCCTCCCTCCCCCTTTCAGCCATCCCCCTTACCCTTCCACCATTTTCCTCCCATTATTGCAGTAGTATAGTCCTCAGCAACAGTCCCGACATGCTCCTATTTCAGTGTCTGCTGGCATTGTAGGTGTCATTAATAAATGAATATGTTGCTTTGGGAAATTTAGTTTCTGCTCTATGAGAAATGAGCCGACAGATAGGGGCTCTCTCTCCACCTCTCAGTATGTAAATGCTTAGTGTCACCTGCATTGTTTGTATTTTAGGTGTTGTACTTTCCTAGTAATACATACAAATGCCATGTATTAGTCTTTAAAAAAAAGGTTTTATTTGTAAGGATGTCTGGAAAAGACAGAAAAAGGAATCTTCCATCCACTGGTTCACTCCCCAGATGGCTGCAACGGCCAGGGCTGTGCCAGGCTGAACCCAGTGGCCAGGGGCATCATCTGCGTCTCCCATTAGAAGGGAGCTGGACCACGAACTGGTGGCCATATGGTATGCCAAGGACACAGGTGGCAGCCTGCCCTGCGGTGCTGCCATGTCCGCCCTCACAGGTGCAACCTTGGTAGGATTCGATGGACTGGTTCCCTAATGAATATAAACAAACTGTGCAGTTTTACAATTTACATGATACTTGTGCATTTTAATGTAATCCCGATTGATTTTACAATTTCATATGTTAATTCAATGAATTAAGGAATTATATCATCAGTAAGTAATACTGGAAATATTAATGACTTCTCAGATTTCGTCAATTGCAGGTTCTCTCTTATTGAGCTATCTGTGTGTCTGTTTTCTACTTCACTGCACCTTCTCAGATCCAGCAATATAAAAATGCGATTCAAGGTATCACCAGCTCTGGCTTTGCGTCTTTGACCTTTGAAGGAACTTTGGGTGCACCTGTCATACCTCGCACTTCAAGCAAGTATTTTAGCTTTACTACTAATGACCACAAGATGGTAGAAGCCTTACGTGTTTGGGCATCTTCTCATATTTCCCCTCCTTCAGCCTTATTAAAATTGTGTGATGTTCAGCCAATGCAGTATTTCGACCTGACTTGTCAGCTTTTGGGCAAGGCAGAAGTGGATGGAGCATCATTCCTCCTAAAGGTACGTATTGTCATACTTACAATCATAAGTCTTTAATGCCTAAATATGTCAGCATTGTAATGCAGTAGGTTTGTATAATGCGTACAGTAATAAGAACTCTAAGATTAGTTTGCCACTTATGATGAGCATCTCTTCTCTTACACTCAATTCCTTTCCTTTCCCTTCCAAGGGAAATAGTGTCTGTGTCTTCTATATAGTGTTTTTTATTTTAGGGTCTTTAACACATGGGCTTTTAAAACATAGTATGTGTTTCTTTTTATCTTCTTTGAGTACAGAGAGAAAGGGTAAGTGATGAGGAGTGGAGAGGTGAGAGACAGAGAGAGATCTTCTGTTGATGGTTCACTTCCCAAAGGCCTCAACAGTCGGAGCTGGCCTCGTTTGAAGCTGGGAGCCAGCAGCTTCTTGCAGGGCTCCCAGCTGAGAGCAGGGGCCAAGGACCTGCCGCCTTCCCAGGCCATAAGCAGAAAGCTGGGTCAGAAATGGAGCAGCTGGGACTGGAACTCGCCCCTGTATGGGGTGTCCCACGAGTGAAGAATTGGCTTGCTGTGCAACCACTCTGAGCCCTGTGCTGTGTTCCATTGTTAGCATTGTTAACATCGTTAACAAATGAGCATTTACTAACCAGTGTGACTACAGAGCATCAGCTTTTGACTGCTGTAGTGTTAGAAAACATATAAATATTGCATAAGAGAGTCTGTATTTTTACCATTAAAAAATATATGCCTGCATCCCATTTTTAGATAGACAATTTTGCTAAATAAAAACAGCTTCTGTGTTACTACTCTTAAAATACTGCACTGAGAATTTAATTTAAGAAAGTAATAAGGTCTCTAGAGGAGAATTTAAGAAAAGCAGGATATTAAGTCAGTTTATTGTCTCCAAATAAGATACATATATCTACACACACACATATATCAGAATAAGACATATATATATGTCTTATGTGTATACACACAGACATTACAAATACACAGAACAAAATATGAAATACAACCAATAGTATGTTAGTATGTCACCTAAGCTTATAGCAGTGTGACTTCTCTTCTTTCCATTCTTCATTTTTACATTACCAGAACTTCATATGTAGTTCTTTTATAATCAGAAAGTGAGGTGGATCCTATTTGTAATAGAGGCATGCATTTCATTATTTTTAGTATTGATACCAGGAAATAAGCTTCTTGCCTTAGCAGGCTGCTGTGTTTCTTTGAAGCATGGTCAAGCTCTGTCTTTCCTCTCATGGCAGGTGTGGGACGGCCACAGGACACCCTTCCCATCTTGGAGAGTTTTGATACAAGACCTTGCACTGGAAGGTGACTTAAATCAACTCCATCAACTGCAGAACCTGACAATAGACATTTTAGTGTATGACAACCATGTCCAAGTGGCGAGATCTCTGAAGGTGATACAAAATATACAAAAATACTTCCTACTTTGTTATTCTGTACATGATGGCAATGATCACATTTACAAGTGATATTTGTAAGAGTGGGAGGAGAAGTGGGCAGTCACTATACCTGTAAAACTATCATGGAAAATATAGAAATAATTTTTCAAACAAGTAATATTTGGAGTCTAAAATTAACTTGAAGTTTGCGTTGTTGAATTTTAGATTTAAGAAGTACGTATAAAATGAATTATAAAAAATTAAATAGATCATTCTTTAAAATAGAGTAGATTATTATTAAAAATAGGTTACTCTTTAAAAAATGTATTTCCCAAATATCTAAAGTTCCTAAGTATGGACAATTGTGAAAACAGTAAGGAAAATTTATCATGTGAGATACACTGCTTTAAAATGACCCAGGGTGTATCAAATATTGCTGATTTAAATGTCCACCCTATTTAATTGGTTTAATGGAATCTGGAGAGCCTGGTACTAAGTAGTGTAAAAAGTTACCAATGAGAGATGCATTTACTCTTTTTAAATAAAAGTCTACAATTTAGAAATGACAGTTTTTGGTGAATTGACAACATGTGTTTTGGGTGCGATGTCCAGTGGCCTGTTCTGTCGATCACCCACTTCCAAATCAGGTAAGTGGCTGAAATCGCTGTCATCCAGGGTCTGTGTCTAGGGCTCAGAAGTCCTAAGTACTGAGAATAAATGATTTTTTTTTTTTTTTATTGCAAGCTATCTTTAAGTCTACATGTAGGAAGTTAAAGGAAAAACCTAGAAATGTTCCTTAAAAGAAAAAATATATGAAGGAGAAAATGTTATTTCTCTTACTTTGCATGGCAAATAAGCTCAGGCAACTCACACAAGTGAATTAGGTAAAAGGCAGGACTTTTGTAGGAGTGCAAGTCCCCGTGTGGAGGAGGAACCAAAAATAATTAACTATTGAAGATGTACGTGGTGTTTTCTTCCCTGAAGGATATTGCCTGTATTTATGAGTTAATTTCAGCAATTAGAACTAGTGCTAAAGGCTGCTGTGACCTTTTCTGGATAGCAGACAGTGATTGTACGAACAAGGCATTTGCACTTGGGCGTTATGGCCCGTCCACGTGTGGACCTACGTTTCCTGTCCTGGGTTCCTCCCTGTCCCTCTGCTTTCCCGAGGCTTGCGCATCTCTGCACGTGCCTCACAGAGCACCTTCTCCCAGTGCTCTGCAGCCGGTGAAGATGGGGAGCACCTGCCGGGGAGTGACCACTCCTTGAGAGCTGGGAATTGTCTTCGGATATTTTTTTCTTTGGAATCATTGTTTTACCTTGCCCACTAGAGGGTGATATTAGCACACACAATTAACAAAATATATGGCATAATATTTCTGGCTAAAAATCTCAGCATTATTCTCAATATAATGTAAAAATGAAATTTTTTTTTATTCTGTAAGCGATGGACTGTGGGCTGTAAAGAACATTCCCGCCCCGTTCTTTGTTTCCTGACACTGGTGTAAGAGAACGCTCAGTCATGTGGCTGAGAAGAATGAGTTTAAAACAATGAATTCCTATTAACACTGCAAGACAGATGCTTCAGATTGCATCATATGTCATAATAAATGAAATCAATTCTAAAGACTTGCAACGTTTTAAATAAAAATAATTTTACCGTGACAGAGTAAGCAATGATTTTACATCATTAATTGTCCTTGATGCTTTTTAACTCTTTCCTGACGTTGCTTTTTAAGAAAGTTAGGTCATCCCAAACATTTTTACACAGACAGACACGTACAAGCGGGCATTTCAAAATTTGTCCAAAGCTAGGAACATGTTTTAGATGCCCCATCCTACGCTTGTCATGTTTCAGTAATGTTAAGATGCAATGTTTTCTCACATGTTGATGTCTGTAAATGTGAATGTGTCTTCCAGGGGTGTGTGTGTGTCTGCCCAGGAGGGTTTTGTGTATGTACAAGCCCGTTTCATTCCAGTGTCCTCTGTGGGGTGGTGTTCATTATTGTTCATGCCTGTGACGGTCCAGTGTGACATACCAGGGCCTTCTCTGACCCGTGCCGTCCCGGGCTGCTGTGATCACTACCCCAGAGTGGCTGTTAACGCTTCAGGTATCAAGTTATTTGTGTTTTCTCCACTTTCAGATTGGAAGCTTTCTTAGAATCTATAGTCTCCACACCAAACTTCAGTCACTGAACACAGAGAGCCAGGCGACAGTGCTGTGCCTGGAGTTCCACCTCCATGGAGGCACGAGCTATGGCCGCGGTATCACAGTCTTGCCCCAGAATAACTCTGATGTGGACGAGCTGAAAAAGTAAGATTTCATGTACCGTTTTAGAAATTGTCTTGAGCTGATTTCTCTAGAAGCTGTTGCATTCATCTTCCTCCGTGGCTCTTGGGACTCACGTGTCATCCATTAAGTCCCGAGTTTGTTTGTTCTGTCATCCTGCTGTGCCACTTGTGCACCTCTGAAGTTGGATTTTGAATTTTCAGGGACTTGAAGTTTCAGATAACCTGGTAAAAGCTGTGTTCCCTTTTCTGTGGAATGTGTATGCGCACAGTGTTTTGCATGTTTAGGTGAATTCTTGGGTCGGTGCACGGAGCGCCTCTGCTGTGTGTGATGTGGACATCTGTCCTTCCATGTCTAGGGCGTTAGAATCTGCGGACTGGACCAGTCAGCCCTCCGATCATTTCTGTCCCTCAGAACACGAGGACAGCTTTTCAACTCCTTCAAGTAAGGACCATTTTTAGTTAAATAAATAACTTTGTCAATGCAATTCTTTTTTAATGTCTTCCTCTCTTTTTATTGACACATTTTAAAGGAATACCCGAATCTCTATGTATGTCTTAGGCAAAGGTATATATGCCTAGTTCGTGCCCTCATTATATGAGTATTTTGAAACTGGAGTGATAGTAATTATGTAACGAATATGTGAATGAACTCATTAAAATATGTGTGGGTGTCGTGGTAGAGCAGGTTAGGCCATTGCTTGGAGAGTCTGCATCCCACATCAGAGTGTGGCTCAAGTCTGCACTACGACCTACCGGCTCAGCTTCTTGCTAATTGCATCTTAGGAGCAGCACTGGGGGCTCAGATGCCCCCAGCGCCCATGGGAGACGAGGGTGCCAGGCTCTCGGCTTCTTCCTGGAACCTATACAGGCATTTAGGATTCTTCTCTCTGTCACTCTGCCTTCCAAATGAGTAAATAAATATAAATATATACTTTTATGGTGTCTGCATTTTTCTCGTCCTTTGTTTTAATGGACGATATTAATAGATTAACTCAGTGAAAGCATACCATGTTAGCCTCAAAAGCCCTTACTAATTTTCTTGAGATTTTTAGGATAATTATTAGTGGCGTTAAGGAAGGAGGACTAGTGATCAACATGTTTATGTAGGAAGGCCCATAAAGTGAATTGTCAATAAGAATGTAAGTTAAAGCAGTTGTAAAATATACTTTTTAGGACCTAACTTCTTCATTTTACTAACACTTGTAAACTTATTTGTTTGGTGCCCAGATGGTGGCACAGTTATCTAACCCTCCAGCTGTGGCACTGACATTCCTTATGGCTGCTATTTTTTTCTCCTGGCCATTTCACTTCCAATCCAGCTCCCTTCTGTGGCCAAGGGAAGCAGCAGCAGGTAGTTCAGGACCTGCTGTGGCCAGGGGAAGCAGCAGCAGCTAGTTCAGGACCTGCTGTGGCCAGGGGAAGCAGCAGCAGCTAGTTCAGGACCTTGGGCTCCTTGACCCACAGGGAGACACGGAGGAGACTCCTGTGCTCTGGCTGCGGATTGCCTCACCTGAGCACATTACAGTCGTTGGAGGAGGGAACCAGCAGAAGGAAGACATCTCCTCCTCTGTGTCCGCTTCCCTCTGTTACTCTGCATTTCAAATAAAAATTAGTTTTAAATGGAAGTATTGCTATTTTTGGGGTCTTTTAAATTCTATTTTATGATTATAAAGATTATAAAGTCATCTTTCTCTTTTTATTTCCTTCACAATGCATTTCTCCCACATAATAAAAAGAACTTAAGAGTTACACAGTTCTTCAACGAATACTTGCACACACACTGCCCAGATTTCCAATTAACAGGGTACTCTGTTTGCTCCATCAAATACATATCTGGGTCTCTATTTCTCATTTAATCCATCAATTCATAATTTTTGGTGCATTTCAAAGTAAGTTCCAGACACCAGCCTGCTTCCTGAACTCTTCACTGTGAACAAACTAGCTAAAATTTAATAAATGTTTAGGAATCTTAATTTTTTGGAAGTGTCACATGAATGAAATTAGCAACCTACCACTTACCTGTCCCATTGTATGTGTTTTCATTAGGTCCTTCGCAGGCGTGTGCCCAACCCATCCAGATTTCCCTGAGCTAGAATTTAAATAGAAGGATTTCTGCTTATTATGTACTCTTTTGCGTATTGGTGCCTGTCTAAATGGCTCATTCCTTTGTAGTGACGCGCGCTCCTGAGCAAGCCACGGGGTCTGGAACAGACTTGAAGCTATGATTCCTTTTCCTCTCATCCACAGGCTCTGGGTCCGTGTCTCCGTACGAGCTGGAGAGATGCCAGCAGCTGTCTGCCACCAGTAAGACCGCGTGTTGTGCTGGAGGAGAGTGAAGGCTGCCTTTCCTCCCCCGTCTCGTTCATTCTTATCTGATAGTCAGCAGACACCAGGGGGGCGAAACTGTGCCCCATTTAACCTTTAATCCTCTCTTGTTCCCCACATTGGAACTCAGATAATCTCTTTAGATTCAGTAGTTATTTTAAGTTATGTATCTCCCAAATAGCATATTGTTTTCTTGATTAAACTGTGCAGTTTTCCCTAATGTAGTCCAGAAATGTCTATTAGTCCCATAAAAATATATTTTCATACATAGACTATACAGTTCGGGTTTTTTGTCCCAGTTATGCAGCATTTATTCATTAGATTTGTTAAAAACCTACCGTGTACCTACCATTTAAATTAATTGGATGTAATACTGTGTATTTGGGTCAGGGAGTAGCTGTGAGTGTGAGTGTACTTACGATTTCTGTCCATGCTTCTCCCCAGTACTCACAGATCATCAGTATTTGGAGAAGACCCCACTCAGCACCATTTTGAAACAGACTGCTCCTAAACAGTATCGCATCCGAGCAAAGTTAAGATCCTACAAGCCGAAACACCTCTGGCAGTCCGTTAAGCTGCACTGCCCTAAGTGCCATTCACTGTAAGTGTTTCAGTAAGAAGAAGCTTTGTGTATTATCCTACACATGCAGCTATAAAATTTAAACTCCTGAAAAGGAGGAAATTGTGATTACTCTGGCCTCTCAGCCAGTTCTCTGAGCTCTTCTGCAGGTGTTTGGTGTATGGGCTGCCCAGATGGGTGTCTTTGTTGGGGACAATCACTGGGCCATGTAACGTGGCCTCCACCTTGCCTTATCTCCTACGGAGCAAAACTCTGAAGAGGCCTGCCTGGCGAAAGGTTTTAGTTATATAACGCAGAGAAAGCCTAGTTGGAACTGTTTCTGCCCTGCTTAAGTACTATATACTAAATAAAATTCAAATTTTCTTTAATGATAATTTCTTGAGACCTGGAAGTCTTTATTCCAAATATAAGTTATTATATAAATATGTAAATAAATTTATAGGACTTCTTTGTTATCTTAGAAATGTGTACCCATTTAATCTGTCAAGTAAATTTCCATATTGTAAGTGGCTTACTGCTCTGCATAACAATGTGTAAGTTGTATAATTTCTTTATGTAAGAATTTTGCAGCGTGTACCAAAACTATTTTCTGTTGGTTTCAGGCAAGAAGTTCCACATGAGCGCAATTTGGACATGATTTTGCAAGAGAGTGCAACCAAAACCGCAGATACCAAACTACACAACACATCACTGTATGATTCAAAGCTGTGGCCCACCAAGGGGCAAGGTGGGCGGCATGTAGCCGTGCACTTTGTGAAACAAAGAGGCATTCTCCCGCTTGCCCGCGACTGTGTGATCCTCATAGAAGGTGAGACACGTCACCATTCAGGAGAATATCACATTTGCATGTTTTAAAATAATTACTGGTAGATGGTTTTCAAGCAATCTGCTACATGAAATTACATGTTTATAAAAAGGAACACATTGTATAGATCAGCTAGAACCTGTGTGCAGGCTGCCTGCGCACAGTGGCTGCCGTCTTAGCCTCTTGACGTCACTGCCGTTTCATGAAATTAGATGAAGGGTGTCTGGAGGGGCGGGGACGAGAGAACGGGACACACTTGAAGAGAACATTTTGTCACGCTTGTTTTCTTGATTTTCTTTAACACTTAATACATACCGGTTGAGGGTCCCTAATCTGAAAATGCTCCGGAATCCAAGACTTTCAACACCAGCTGACATCACATGTGGAACATTTCGCATCTGGTCTCATAAAATGGGTCATAGACGAGACGTGGCTGCGTGACAGTAACTGTGCAGACTTAGCCCGGCTGCGTGCACCAGGTGTCCCTGAAAGACTAAAGGAGCTGGGGTTAGACCCGCCTCGCGGACAGCCCAGAACCTGGGGAAAATCAGAAATTCCTCTGGTCCCATTCCAGATAAGTGGTACACAGCCCAGAAGCATTTTGTCCTGATTTAGATGTAATATTTCTTTTCCTTTGGAGACCTTCTTCCTTCATAACTTTCTAAAAATAAAAGGAAAATTATGTTTATTTTGCATTCGAGAAATACTTAGTTTCACTTAAGAATTTGCCTTGATGGTAGTATTATTGCTGATATTTTATCTTTAAATTTGTATCATTTTCATGAACAGAAGTCTGTGCCTATTGCAGGCATTTGAGTAGTGAACCAGCCAATGGGAACTCCTCTGTCAGTCCCTGTCAAATAACTTAAGTTAATATTTAAAAACATTTTTTTATTTAGCCTTTACGTAAAGGAATATTATGCCCTGTGTTGCAATGAGGAAATTAATAGAGCATTTACATACTTTGACTGAGGTCATTAGCCCATGCGTTGGGAAACCAGTGCCAGTGACCAGGATGGAGGCTCACCGCTTACTTGGAATACTACTGCTTCAGTGACATGGGCACAGAACGAGCCTGGAATCCTTTCCTTTTGCAACTTTGAGAAGAATGGGGCAGGCGTCTGTTTAGCAGAGCTACAGCATTAGTCTCTGGAAGATGGGCTGTAGCTCTGGAGCTGTGACGCGTTTTAGTTGCATGCTTGAAGAAGGTTGTTTCAAGTTTTTGCAATGACATGATCAGGATTCAGGATCTAACTCCAGTACAGAAGCGTGGCTCCCCTCGCCAGCAGAGCCAAGGGACGCAGGACATTCGAAAGGCCACCGGTACGCTGTGTTCAGCAAGACACAGCCATTTCTCTGATCTTTCTTAGATCCTTCTAAGCCTCTAGTTATTGTTAGATGAGTTCTAAAAAGTTATGGGTTTGACATTTGCTATCCTTGTTCTTATTGTTTTTGTGGAAATGTGCACTTTTTGGAAGTTCCTCTGACAGGCCAGACACATCTCTGCTCTGTGGTTGAATGTTATCATTATACACTCTGCTCAAATGCTAGGACTGAGCAGAGGTGTTTTCCTAGAAGGAGGAAACGTTATTAAATCTAAATGGAAAACACTCCAGAGAAGGCATCATAGGTCTGGGTTTCAGTGATAATATTGCCGTCTAATGACGACACACCATTGGGCATACTGCTTTTGTCTGATCCATCGTAGTAGTTTTAATGCTTTACCCCTTCATAGAATTCAACAGTTGGCAACGATTTTCCCAGGAAAATGAGTAAATATTATGGAATGAGTTCATATTACATGAATTTCCTTCTATGTGTTTTAATTCAATATTGACCTAAAGGTTTAAAACATTCATTTCATGTTCAAAGCTAAGCTTAAGTAATGATTAATGGTAAATAGCAGGTTTAATAGCAAGAAACCTTCATATTTTGACTTTCAGTTTTATCCTCTGATTTAAACCGGAGTTCCTAGTGTAAAGAGCAGTTTGTCCAAACTTAAGAAGGTGCCGAGGATTTTGCAAGCTTTATCTTTTACTCAGATTTGTATAGTGATTATTCATATTTTTCACAAAGAGAATATTGAATCCACACTTGTGGCTTCTTGGTTTGTTTTCCATTCGTCCATTTCCCCCCCTCCCGGTACTTCCTGTGTTTGCTGGCTCTCCACCTTGCCTGCACATCTGCCACTTAGAGGCACATTTCTTTGTTTCACCAGGAGGTACAGTCTGTGAAATCTATAAACTCGCTGCCAAGTTCCATAGTGTAATTCCTGTGCGATCTGGCCCGGAAGACCTGGAACTCCTGGACCTTTCAGCGCCATTTTTCATACAAGGAAAGGTACTCCACTACGGGTATGTCCGCAGTGTACAGACCTGGATTGGAAACGGCCTCGGAGTGATCCTTGTTTGTGGTATGTCGGTGGCTGCTGTGCTTGCCGTTTACTGAGCATGCACACATCAGTCAGTCCGTGACGTCACAACTGCTGAACTGCACAATGGCAACATACACTTCTGTTAAATAATTTACCTGAAAACTACATCTTGAATGCAAAAGTAAGCTAAAATAATGAACTGACACATTATTTTAATCCTTGTTAATTTCAGATGTAAACAGTGTTCTACTTTGCGACCAATACAGAGTCTGAGTTCTCTGGTTGATGCGGCGTGGACCCCTTCCACCGTGGCAGAAGGTCAGTGAGATTCTGACATCCTTCCGCTCTACCTGCTCGTAAATTTTTCCCCATGATTTATACTCCAATGTCTGTGTTTCTACCAACCTCAGCTAAAGTTTCTTTCCTTAAGTGAAACCATTCACAGTGATTATAACAGAAGATAGAATTAAATGTTTAAAATACTTGCTAAAGTCACTTTCAGCAGAATGTGTATTAACTATAGTTGTAATCATTTTATATATATATTCGTGTGTGATTTGATCATTTGATTTTCTTTTGGTCATCAGTAATAACGACAGGTTCTCAGCAAATCTGTCAACTGGAGATAAGTTAACAGAGGTTAGAGACAGATGTTCTAGCTCTTTACCCAGCAGCTGGAGGAAGACTCGGTGTGTACCTTACTCTTCACTGTGCTCATCACGTCATTTTAGTGAAGAGAGAGCCATGACGCTCCAAGACAGCGTGGCCCTCTCAGGGTTAGACCACTTACTATTCATGTTGAAGTGAAATCTGCCTGCCTGTAACTTCAGCATGGACCAGTTTCTGTTGGAATTCTTCATGGTACACCTAGTTCCTCTTCTGTGATGTGAACAGATTTCGGACTTTTGAAGATCTCTCAAGTTGCATTGAATCTTTACTTCTCAGATACCTCACTTCCTTGTCTGGCCTGCTTAGTGGAAGTCCAGTTTCCCAAGGCTCTTCACGAAACCCGGCATCTCAGCTAGACGTGGGGCCGCTGGAGTGAAGTGTAGGGGCTGACAGAACATAAGCAGAGGGGCGGTCATCTGACAAGCCAGGAATCAGAACAGCAGGACCCAGCTCCGCTCGTTCAGTGAACCTGCCTTTGACGGCCCCCAGTGTCCTGAAGGCGTGCTGAGCCTGAGTCCTGCACACCGTGATTGTTAGCAAGTCTCTCCCTCAGTACACAGACCTGTTTGAAGAGGTCTAGGCGGGGCTGGATGCCCTGCTTCGGTTCCCTCTGATTCTCTATGTTACCTAATGTTACAAAATCCGTACAGGGAACCCACTTTTTTCAGTTAATAATGTATTTATCTGGCTGGATTCCCAGGACCCTTAGACACAGAGCTAAATGGCTAATGTCATTGCTGATAAAAGCATCTTGAGCACGATGGAGCTTATACTGAGAAAAAAGCTTGTATTTTACATTTTGATTCCTTTTCATTTTGAAATTCCTTGTTTATTTTGGACAGTAAGGCTCATATTTTTAAGTTTATCTATTAGTAAACAAAATTTATGGTTCTATACTATTGTAAAACAGGTTTAATTTTTTAGCACTTTGAACGTAGAGCTCACATGCTATGATTCTTTACCCCCTCGTTAGTTCTGGGTGTCGTGCCCCTCCAGTATGTGTTTGTCATGACATTCACTTTTGATGATGGGACTGGAGTGTTGGAAACCTATCTCATGGACTCTGTAAGTAAACATGTTTCTAATGAAAAGATAGTGTTTTAGTACGTGTATTCATGCTTACTTTGTTTTTAAAAGAATTTAAGGCAATGTAAAGCATAAATAAATGTGAACATTTAAATCTGTATATCTTGACATTGCAAATGTTAGTATTTGAAAAGTTAAGAATTGAGGAATTAAGATCTGAGAAGGGAGTCATTCCGTATTCCATACAGAAGTTCTACTCTAGATCAAACTGCAGAAGTGTGTAGCTGCTATTTACAGTGAACATTGCACATTTTCCCGTATCGGGAGAGATGAAGTTACTTGGGTAGGAAATTGTGGATTATTCTGCCAAAGTACAGGGCAGTCCAAATGGTCACTTTCATGATTACAGTCTACTACAGTTAGAGGATCTAGACTAAAATCAGCCAAGGAGTGAGTGAGGTGAAAGGGCAGAATCTAGAAAAGTCACAGGCCTTGAGCTGCTCAGCAGTCCTCCTGCTGTGGAGGTGTGCCCGTGTCACAGGTATGTGCTGCCCACCTCATGCCAGCGTCTGGCAGGCTGTGAAGGCCGCTCCATCGCTGGTCAGCTGCTCTTGTCTTTTGCCTTAGTCCCTCCTGAGGTCAACCTGGTAATCCATGCCCTAACCTCCACACTGTCACGCTGTTGGCCTGGCCACAGGACCAGACAGCTCTCAGCTGACAACTGATACCCTCAGGGTTGAGCAGTCACCTCTCACAAGCTGAGAGCAAAAGCCAGCCCTCTGTGAGGGTAAAGTAACTTCCTACAGACAGCTGAGAAGAGTGTAAGATGATGCTGACTCTGTCTCCCACCTTCTCAGTTCATAGGTACCTGTGGTGTACCACATAATATCCTATGCATGTTAGGGATGCAGGGAAAGCAGAACTACGCTGGAAGCCTGTCTGTTTTACAGTTAGCATGAGATTATTTCCCTATACCTAGAGAAAGATGAGTCTGGCTTTGAATCATCACTGTTGTTAAGACAAAGCAGTTTGGTTGTGTATGTCTCAAAGCTTTTTTAAGATTAAAGTAGTAAACCAGATTTCAGAATGTACCAGCACTTTAATTAATGCTACAACGTTCATAGAGTGAAATGCTGTGCTTATTTTAGCTGAAATATTTTCACATTATACCTTGGAAAGATACTAACATCGTTTTTTTTCCTTCTATGACCATTTTTGAAGGACAAATTCTTTCAGGTCCCAGCATCAGAAGTTCTGGTTGATAATGACTTCCAGAGACGTGTGGACTTGATTATGGAAACGTTCTGTCCTCCAGGAAGAAAAATTGGTAGGCAATGACATGTTTACAACTGACTCTGTTTTGAAGTGGAGTCGCCTTGTTCTCCAATCTGCGTTTTTAGAAATCTGAAAACTTTGAATCCAAATGAATTAGCAAGTCTGGAGCATTACTGTATATTCCAATTTTGCATGAAGATAGTGGCAAGGATGAAATAACTATGGATCATAACCCTGCAATAAAAAAGTTGATAGGGCCCGGCGCGATGGCGCAGTGGTTAAGGTCCTCACCTTGCATGCCCGGGATCCCATATGGGTGCCGGTTCTAATCCTGGCGGCCCCGCTTCTCATCCCATTGGAAAGGCAGATATACAGAGAGGAGGAGAGACAGAAAGATCTTCCGTCCAATGGCCCACTCCCCAAGTGAGCACAACGGCTGGAGCTGAGCCAGTCTGAAGCCAGGAGCCAGGAGCTCTTCTGGGTCTCCCACACGGGGGCAGGGTCCCAAAGCTTTGGGCCGTCCTCGACTGCTTTCCTGGGCCACAGGCAGGGAGCTGGATGGGAAGCAGGGCTGCCGGGATTAGAACTGGCGCCCATATGGGATCCTGGCTCATGCAAGGTGAGGACTTTAACTACTATGCTATTGTGCCGGGCCCACATTTTAAAAAATTTTTTGTCTTTCTTTTCATGCTTTCTCTAGGCATTTGATTAACCAGATCATGAGTATTTCAAATTTTCTAGATTATACCAGGCATCACTGAGTTTTCCATCATTAGCCGTTATTGGGTTGGACCTTGCAGATCCGAATGATCTTAACAGTGTGACTAGCTTATTTGATTCTTATATCTTTTCGTCGATAACATTTTCCCACCTGTAGATTTAAGCGTTATTTAAACTTTCACAAGTTTTATTTAACCAGAAATTGCTTTCCATTTGAGGAATCTGCAGTTTAAAACAGTTGTAAGAGAGGGGATTTTCTTCATGTGTGACCAAGTTTACTTGTACACCTTTATTTCTGACCACTTTTCCCTTATCCTTGCTTTTGATTCTTTTGAGTAGATTTCTGAAAATGAAATTGCCGTACAAAAAACACAGCCCTCCTGAGCTCGTCACCTTTCCTGTGGCCTGTCTCTCACGCTGTGCCTGGGCAGAGTCCCTGTCCTAGATACACAGTGTTGGACACTGCTTAAATCCCCTTCAGACTTAGACTTTTACTGCAAGTCATAAAAATTGTTACTTTGAGCATCACTTATATTGGAAATGGCCAACGTTTGTGGTTGCCAGCACTACCTGGGCTCCGTAGCTGCTGTGATCAGCACGTTAGCTGGGGGGGTAAGGATTGGAGCTGATTGGAAGTTTAGTTTCTATTTCCATCCAGTAAATCAAGAACAAAACAAACCAGCAGAGGTCACTCAGCAATCAGAAAAGGAGGAAATACCGGGGGTCAGGCATCTGAAACGCTTTGTTTTAATCACTTTCATCGGCTGGGAAAGTCAAATTGGTTATAATTGCAGCAAAACAATGACATGAATCAAATATGTATTTGGAAGAATGCATAATGTTAAATTTGCTAAGTATATTTTCTTTCCAGACTAAATTAAAATATGATTTTAAACTAAGCTTCTTGCTCATGTGCTTCGGAGTTTCTGGTCTGGCTGTAATGGTTAGATAACATTTTCTTTTCCATTTCTAGACGCATATCCGTGGTTGGAATGCTTCCTCAAGTCGTACAACGTCACGAATGGGGCGGAGCAGCAAGTTTGCTATCAGATTTTTGACACCACAATTGGAGAAGATGTTATCTAATAATATTCCTGTGCTGAAAAAACAGCTGTCAGGAGTATAAACTGGTACTGTGTTTGCATTGGCTCATGAAGCCCTCCCAGAGAAGTTATTTTATCTCCTTACGCCCTAAATTGTTTATCCGCCATGGTTCCTCTGGCATCCACATCTCTGACCGGAAGTCCTGCTCTGTCCTGGTCACTGTAGCAGCAGTGTTCATCTCCACACGGATGTGGAGTTAGAAGACGTTCCTTTCTTAAATTACTTTTTAGGACTAGCAGCCACTGATTTTGTTACATTTGTGCTTGGAAAGGTGTTTGTCTAAATGTGCCCCAGGGAACTGCCCAGTGAGCTTCAGGTTTACGTGGCAGAGTGCACCCTCTGGGTGCTCATGTGGCCACCCCAAGGTCAATGCTTCCTTAGACCTGGACCATGTACGCTGAGTGCATGTTTTCTATGATGTTAGTGGTTGTTTCACAGTAGTCAGATTTGTGATGCTAGGGACCTTAACGTCAGAAGTATTCTCTCCTACTTTTAAGGCCTCACACACATATATATATGGAAGTCAACTCATAACTACATTGCCAATAATAGTAAAATCCAACTCAAAATGGTCAGATCCAGACATTGGTCCCAGGAAAACAGATGCCTAACAGGCACCTGCACGATGATCAATGTCACTAGGCACCTGGGAGACAAACCACGCCAGTGAGACTGGCTGTTTTCAAATCAGAATGCAAATAAGGGTGGAGGATGTGAGAGCAGGGAGCCTTTTACACTTTTGGTGGGAATGTGGATGAGTAGAGCCAGTGTGCAAAACCATATGGGGATTTCTCACAAAAACTAATATTAAAATTATTGCATGATTCAGCAATCCCAGTCGTGGGAATGTTGCTACAGGAAATTAAACCCATCTGTCAAAGACACATCTACGCTCACATGCTGACGGCAGCAGCCTTCGCGTGTCCGAGAAGCGTCACTCAGCAATGACTGGTGAAGAAAAGGAAGTACAAATATGCAACAGAATACTCCCAAGCCATTAAAAAGATGAAACGTGCTATTAGCAACAACACTGGTGCAACTGGAGGACATCATGTGAAGTGAAGTCAACCCAGCACACAGATGCAGTCACTGCATATTCTCACTCACTCGGGCAATTCAAAACACAGGTGAGCTTAGAGAAGTTAAAAACAGGGCTGTGATTCCCAGAGCCTGGGAAAGGAAGTAGGAATGGAGGGGTAGGCAGAGGTGAATTCATAGATAGCAGTAAGGAACTTCCGGGGCTCTTTTGCCGAGAAGACTGATTATAATTAACATGACAGATCATTTTAACTTAATGCACATTATTAGAAAATAAAAATCAAATTTGGGGCACTGTCACTACAAAGCAATGTTAAATACTTGAAAGGATAAGTGTGTTGACCCTGGTTGAATATTACACAATACTAAATGAAAAGAAACATCACAGAGTACCCATAAGCGTGCAGAGTTTTAGTCTGGCAAAAACGGTTCGCAATAGAAGTTTCAATGGAAAACCTCGCTACTCCAGGATCGGGCCTAGAATTGGGACACTAGTAAGCATAGCACATCCCATGGTGTGGTGTTTAGATACGACACACAGCTCTGCTCGCTTGCTAACTGCCCGCCTCAGGTAACTCGGGTCCTTCTATCATGTGGGACCTCTGGATGGGAATGTGGGTTTGAGTCCAACCAGGCCATTGCGGCGTCTGCGCATTTAACCGGGTGATGTGAAACTTCCCTCCCATTTTCATTCTGAAAAAACAAAGCTAAAACTGGTTAAAAAAAAAAAAAGAGGAAGTAATGTTCATTTCTGAATTCTGTGGGGAAAAATTATTTTACATGCAGCCCATGTGCAAAAGTCTATTCAATCCCTTCATCTGAGTCATTTAAAATTAAAATAATAATAAAGCTATGGTCTTTTCATTCCTTCTGGCACTCAAAAAATGTGCATGATATCACTGAGCAGCCACTAGTTGTCTCGCAGCCATCAAGGATATTGTTTTCCTAATGATAGCATCGTCCTATATATATATATAGACACATACACATATATATATTGCACTTGAACTACCACCTTTAAAAATTTCTGCATTTGGGCCCGGTGCAATAGCGTAGTGGTTAAGGTCCTCACCTTGCATGCTCCAGGATCCCATATGGGTGCCAGTTCTAATCCCGGCAGCCCTGCTTCCCGTCCAGCTCCCTGCCTGTGGCCTGGGAAAGCAGTTGAGGACAGCCCAAAGCTTTGGGCCCTTTCCCCCGTGTGGGAGACCCGGAAGAGGTTCCTGGCTCCTGGCTTCAGACTGGCTCAGCTCCAGCCATTGCAGTCACTTGGGGCGTGAACCATCACATGGAAGATCTTCCTCTCTGACTCTCCTCCTCTCTGTATATCTGCCTTTCCAATAAAAATAAATAAAATGTTTTTAAAAATTTAAAAATTTCTGCATTCGTTGGGGAAAAAATTAACGTTAAGATTATTTGTAATGCATTTGTCATCTACACGTGTTGTATGTTTTATCCATGCAGGAGGTCAGCACACGCAATCTGCCTTCTGGACTATCATTATTTGTCTGATTTCAAAGCAGCATGTTTAGTAATGAGCTTCCTTCCCCTTTTTGCCTCAACAAAACGGAAGTTGGCTTTTACAGGCATGAGAAGCATCTCCGTCACATCTCTCATGACTTGCCTAACGATGCGCTGCAGATCCCAGCATCTCTAGTGTTCCTGACAGCTTCTCCATCTTTCTGTAAAGACAGGCTGTGTGGGCCGTGGCCTTGTCTCTTTAAAACCTCGACGCCACATTTGCTCAGGCTGTAAATGTGAACTGACAGAGAACATTGATATTCTCCTGCAAGTCTCCTTTCTTCCCATAAAAAAATGGAATTGTCATATTATGATAATTCTCTCCCCATCAAATGGCTTTTTATAAAAGGCAGACAAATTGAGGGAAGATAAAAGTTAGCAAGAGGTATGTAAGAATAAAAGAAAATTGCACACTGTTAAAGCCTCAAAGGCTTTCGTGGCTGCTGTCACTCTGATGACACAGCTCTTACAGACCATCAGACCGTGGGCAGCCTCGTCCAGCTGCCAGCCTGAGGACCCTGTTGCTCTCGGAGTGCTGCGTCTGCAGGGGAGGGCAGCTTGAGAAAGCCTTAACTCCAAACTCACAGAAAAGTTGGTCAAGTCCATCTGCATAGGTAGCTTCAAACACACATCTTTATCAAATAAAAAACCCTGAGATAACATGCCAATTTTTTTGGAATCCCTCTTAGTATTCTCATCCATTAGACCTGATTCTATTCATTTCATTTAGCATTTTCCTTATGTGTCATGCAAGTAAAATCTGATTGGGGGAAAACCCCATTAGATAGGCTTTAATCAGAGTGTAATTCTTCAGTTGAAACCCCAGAAAATCTATATTAAAAATGCAGTATCTGAATTTCTCCAAACTTAACAGGCTCTTCTTCTTTGTCATGAAATGCACTGCAAATATCTTCCCTGTTATGAACACTGGCCAAGATTTCTGTTGAGCGTTTTAATTTTCCAAGATAGTATTTCCTAATGACTCCCTTGCTTTCTCTACTCAGTTTCCAACAAATTGGAGGAAGTCTGCCTTTACACGGCCATGCTCTCCCACCTGGGGAACAGTCTTGGCCACTTCAGCAGCTCCAAATGCTTTGACATTTCGGGTAAAACAAACGCACACGTAAAATAAAAAGCCTGCAGCTCTGTGCTTTCTGGGTTTTTGCTTCCTGTGTACACCACGAGGGAGGACGAAGAAAGGAATGCACTTGGCTGAAGTCGGGTTGGTTTCGGGTGTTTTCCAGCGCCTTCATGGTTTCCCTTCAGATTTCCCAACTGTTGCCTGTGAAAGAGGATGGAGAGACGTGGATGGACTGTAACGTATTTCAGCAGCACCAGAATGGCAACACCTGGTTCTGTTTTTTAACTTTCAAAAGGTTTTCGCCTTCTGAGAAGAGTGTGGCTGAGATTCTGATTGGGATCACATTAAATCTGTACATGACTTATGCTAATACGGACATTTAATGATGCTGATTCTGCTGATGGTCTAGGAACGTGGTGAGTTTCTCTTTTAGTATCTTCTATTTCTTCTTAAATGTTTTGTCATTTTTATCATAGTGGTCTTCCACATCTTTGGTTAAGCTTATTCTAAGGATGTAAAATTCTTCGTTGCTATTTTGAAAGGGAATACTTCTACAAGTTTTTTTTCTCAGCTGTGAAGTTGTTTGTGTATTTCTGGGCCATTGATTTATGTTCATTGATTTTGGAAATTTCTACCCTGCCACACACTCTTATGAGTTCCAACAGTCTCTTTGTTGTGTCTTGTGATTCTCCTAAGTATAGAATCACTTCATCTGTGAACAGGGATAATTTTAATTCCTCATTTTTAAAATTGAATTCCTTTAATTTATTTTTCTTGAGTAGTAGGTCTAGTAAAAACTTCCCAAAGCATGCTGAATCACAGTGGCAAGAGTAGACATCCTTTTTAGTTCTGGATTTTAGAGGGAAATCTTCCAGTCTTTCGCCAATGAGTATGGTGCATGGGTTTTTCGTATAATGCTTTCATTGTGTTGTAGAATGTTTATTCTATGTGTATCTTGCTTAGAGTTTGTGAATTAAGCTGTGTTGGATTTTATCAAGTACCTTCTCTGCATCTATTGAATTGATCATATTGTTTTTATTTTTCAATTTGCTGATTTTGTATATTAGATATATCAGTTGCATGTGCTAAACTATTCCTGCATTCCAGGGTTGAATCCCACCTGGTAATTGTTGCATTTCATCAGTAGTTTCCAATAGCTTATAATGATTTCTAAAAATTGTTTATCTGGAAGTTACTTGATATCTTCATCAGTTAACTCTGAGATTGGCATAATTTTTGGCTTCTTTCCAGGGGAACTGTCAATAACCTCTTTTATTATGTTTGTGCCTTCTCCTTTGTCTTTGGTCATGCAACTCTGAACAGTGAATTTTTCTTCTTGGGGCTGGTATTGAAACTGTCCGCTGGTCACAGACCGATGTTACA